TAATGCCATTAATTTTATCTTGGCTTACTTTCGCCATATCCTCTTCATTTAAAAATAAAATTAATACTTTATTTTTATCCTCTAATAAGACCGGGAAATCATGCAATTGCTGTAATCGCTGTTCCATCGCAAATCGCAAATATTCGTCCGTTCATTGTTGTATTGTCCGGTACTCGTTGCTCGTTCCGAATTACAAATCATGCGCATAGACCGCATGAACGCATCAGACGCATCAACTGCCTCAGGTCAAAAGAGAAGCAGTCAATGCGCTGAGTGGAGTGCTAAGAATTCAGTACGGTTAGTACAATCTGGGGAATTCAAGTACTCTTGAAGCGCTTTCGAAGCGCGCAATAGTTAACTCGGAACGACTTTCTATGCAGTCTACGCGCTTCATGCGCGACTCGGAACGCACCCTAAATAGCAGAGGCAGCAAAAAACCGCGGAAAATCATGACCGTATAAAGCCACGGGCGACAAAGATGTCCAAAAAGGGCGACACATCGTGTCCTGCAATAAAATATATTTCCTTTCTGATGGCCTTCCGAAGATTTTCATCAAAAGACATGACAGTTTACAATTTCTTTCCGGTCAAATTCTATTGTAATTTTACTAGCCTACATAACATTAGGTACGCGATTAAGAACTCCTGTCGCACAGCCCTGGCAAGGGGTAATCTATCGATTCTGGATCGCGCGAGTGATACCCAGCAATCAGTTAGTTTGTGGTGATCTGTGTTACTACAAGGGTAAGTCATAAGATTTTGTCTATCGTTTTAGCATCGCCGTCCTTAATAAAATTTAGGTTCACTTAATTAGCAATTAACACAACTCAGTCCAGCAATTTCTAATTTATTTCCCGAGAATAACTGGCGTCAAGTAACGGAATATTGTTATTTTGTATAAATTCATCGGAAATCGAACTTATAACACATATCATCATATCTAATTGTATCTCATACATTTGTTCCGTTCGCATAAGCGACCGGATGAGTGTTAAGATACATGTGTACGTAATTAATTAATAACAAAATCCTTCCTATAATTTCCGTGGTTCAATCAATTCACGAATATTTAATAGTCACATCGAACTTTTGGCAGCGGACAAAATAAACGGTACCCGATATCCTTGCGACCGGCCGGGATCACGTGCACTCACGCGCTTCCCGCGTGCACGCTACCGAAACGCGACTTTTCATCTATCCTTTCATATACCTATCATCTATTTTACATCTTTTTATTTTTTTTTTCCCTCATATTTCATATATCATGTCATAATAATTTTTACAATAATTACATTTCATTTTATTTTACAGCATTATAAAAGATATGGCAGAAAAAGATGTAAGTATTTAACTTTTTTTCTCCATTATTCATATATGGGTGTCCCAGACTACCCGTAAAATATTACATGAATAGGTAGAGCGGACTGAACTAATTGTAAGTCGAAAAGTCCTCTACCGTTTTGCAATTTTCGCAATAGTCAACGAGATAATTGGTAAATATTACCGAGTACGTGCGCCCGCTCGGCCGTGAGAGAGCGTGAGTGCGAACAAGAGAGTTAGGGTGCGAGAGAGAGAGAGAGAGAGAGAGAGAGGGAGGGAGGGAGAGAGAGAGGGGGGGAGAGAGAGAGAGAGAGAGAGAGAAAGTTAAGTAAAAATTACAAATATAAGATGTAAATTATGACAAATTTCAATAACAAAGAAATAATGATTTCATTGATCGATTGTCAAAATATTAGAAAAATAATCAATTATTCCACCTCATACAAATTTGTATACTTGATCTAGAATTATCCGTGCTAGCTAGATGCAAGATACCGAGGCGAGCTTCTACCCCTTTCAGGGTGTATTTTGCGCACCGAATGGCGCACATGCGCAATCATGCAGGGAAAACCGAGGTATGAGAAGAGGGCGCGGTGCAGCGAGAACGGGAAAGAGATGGGCACCCCAGTGTGACAAGGATCATTTTAAAGCAATAGCGCACTATAAACTCTATAAGAATGTCCTCATTTTTAGAATTAGAATTATGGTGATAGAAGAGAATTGAAAGGCGCGTGCATAGCGCGCGCTGCATGCTATTAAAAGCAAAATACTGTTAAAATATTACATTACTATTAAATTTCATTTCAGATTGTCATGGATGACGGCTCTGCCGCCGCCGGCCCCACCGCTACCAGCGCCGCCGGCTCTGCCGATACCGCCGCCGCTGCCTCTGACCCCGCTTCCTCTGGCCCTGCTGCCTCTGGTCCCGCTGCCGCCGCACCAGGACCTGACTCCACCCCTGCCGGCACCGCCACCTGCCACGCCGCTTCGGACGGTCGTAGAGATTGTACACTTTATATGAATTAAGTAATAATAAGGCTCTATATTAACAAACTATTTAAATCAAAAAATCATACAAATATACAGAAAACATACTTTTCGACCATGATCGCGTTATTTTCAATGTTACAAAAATTATGAAGTATTATAAAGTAAAATAACAATTGCATATATTCTTCATTAAATATAAAAAATCAGTCAATGTTGGTGTCGTAAGCATAATTAATCCTAATAGAAAAATACATATAAAAATAAAAAATTAACAATATCGTAAAACATAATGTGTGAGTACCAAAGTCTTCCAAGTCATAACAGTAAATATGAACAATTTATTATTTATTGAATTTAAAGGAATTGTTTTACCAAAATTATCAGCCGAAATATGTATTTTTTCAATAGCACGACAAGAATCCTCATTAGGAACTTCATTAGAAATAACGCTAGTTCCTAAATCGTTATTGAAAGTACAAACGTACTAAATCAGTTTGATATATGATTTATTTATCATTGAGTCTTTCTTAAAATTTTTTGTCTATTCTCTTTGTATATGTAAATAAATACTGGAACCATTAACTTACAAGCTGTAGATATTAAAAATATTAATTCTGATGAAATGTAAATACCTGTATATGAATCCTTTAATTCCAAATGCAAAATATCTTTTACATTATTGAGTTGTATTTTTCTTAGTCTTGTGCCTCTACTGTATAATGATAAATTATTAATATTAATAAAACCTTATAAATGTGGCGGTACCAAATTAAATGTAAGACAATTATTCAAAAATCTAATACGAATTAATGGTTCCAGTTTTTATTTACATACATAAACAAAACAATTTTTTGGTTAAAAAAAAACTAAAAATAAAAAAATCATACATATCAAACTGATTTCGCACGTTTGTACTTTTAATAACGAATTAGAGACTAGTGTTATTTCTAATAAAGTTCCTAATGAGGATCCTTGTTGTTGTATTGAAAAAATACATGGTAAAAATGCAGATTAGGGGAGCCTCCCCCAATGACCTTGAGGAAGTTTTAACCATCGGACCTAATTCGTTAAAAAGTTATTAACAAAAAAAGTTTCAAAATTAACGTATTATTTCTGCTATACATGTATAATATGAAGTCCTATTCTACACCTTTCCCTGTTCAGAAACGTTGAACTTTCCACGCGAAGTAACTTTTACCCCTCCCCCCTCCCCTGCACAGGGGCACACGACTTCTACGATTGTACTATTGCTGTGATTGTACTGTCGGGGCAGACCTCTGTGACGGTGTGGGTGCGGAGGGGTGGCCGAAGGCCACCTCCTTGCACCCGCCCGTGTGTGTGTGTATGTGTGTGAAATATCAAGTAATAGACTCATAATCGTTATATAACGAATGGAACACACACACACACACACACACACGGGCGGGTGCAAAGAGGTGGCCTTCGGCCACCCC